GTTTATAAAACAAACCAGAGGAATCAGTGCAGCCAGTGGATTGATAGGATTGGGAGATCAGTATTCCATGTTTACAAGAACCAAAGATTTGTTAAATATTCTCCCACTTGTCTAACTGCAAAAGGAATATTCTGAGTGCCTGTTTCCTCTGCCAATTCACAGAAAAAGAAGTTGTGTGGCAACATCTACCACAGTATGAGCAAACCTAGTGTACCCTTAAATTTCTTCTTCTAGGCTCACTCGATAAATATCTCACAAATCCTTAGAAGAGATCAGGTGGGCAAATGTGGGAGAACGTATGCAGGAAAAGAAAATATTTTTTATCGGTAGAATCCATTTCCCTAGTGGATGGAAGTGATAGATTTATCTAACAAATATAACAGTAACTTCCTTTAAAACACCAAATAGCAGGAAGTTCTTGAAACCCTCCTACAAATATGCACCTCTAACCAAAATGAAGTCAAAGTAGCAGCATATTTGTTCACTTTCAACATTTGTCTCCGTCCATTACCATCACGCTTCCCTCAACTATCCCATTTTCAAATTTTAGATTACACTTTTGTCAAAACACAAATAAATCCTTTTAACATTGAGTCTAAACAAATTCTAAATACTTTCTTGACCTCACCTGGAAAAATCGGGCTCCTTATTGAAATAACAGTCTACTTGACAAATTAAATATAAAAATATTTCCATTTTACTAAATGTGCAAGGTGACTTATTCACTAATTTAAAAGGTCCAATCCCACAGCAAAAACGCTTTTTGTTTCTCTTTCTCATTCCCGATTACAGTACCACACCAAAATAAGAACCACTTCAAAAAGAAATTTGTATCAATGACAGATTAGCCAAAATTCAGCTGATTCACTTTCTATTTAAATTCATTAACCTTGAACAGTAATAAATTTAGCAGTTTTATTGTACTTTCAAGTCCGATTTAAAAATTCCATCATCAATGCTCAATTCCATGAACACTCTTAAAAGCTATTTATACCAATTTTGTTAGAGAATAAGGCATATTTTAAATGCCTTTAAATATGCACAAAGACCCCTGGCTCTTTCCCTACTAAAATATGACAAAAAGGATTTCTTTCCTGACATTTCAATATCATCTTATGAACAGCTAGCTGAATATAACTCCCCATTTCCCAACTTTATGCCTTCCAATGCTTTAAACATAAGCCCACAAGTATGGTACCTAGGATATACTTGCTGATAGTAGAATGAAAATAGCTCTGAACAGAGGAAAGGATTAATGGTGGCAAGGTATTCCAAATCGATATTGTTTTCATTGCATTAGGATCAACCTCCATGGCTTCCAAACAAGTTTGTCACATATAACTGCATTTATACTGAAGCATTAGACATGAATATAAGCTCTTTTTAAAGAACAAATTAGATGGTTGGAACAGGTTTCTTACAATAAATGGCAATTTAATGCACTTCAAAACTATATTCATCCAACTGTGACACAAATTTATCCCCAAGTCTTAGTCCAGGTGAATACCAGACTTAGGACAAGAAAACTTCAACTCAGATATCTTCTCAGCAATGAATATGATTTTGACACTATTCTATGCCTAGCCTCAGTCTTCAATCCCCAAGCAACACAATGCATTCAGTTTCTCTTGACAGCAATACATTAACCACCAATAACACAAACCAGAGTTTGCCAGACTTTGGTAGGATGATAATCCAATATGCTTTTTTATATATTGACCACGTGTGCCAGCAATACAAAAGGGTCTGGGTTTGGCAAGACAGCAGCAATGCACTGAAAAAAAAAGTTATTTCCCTTCTCAGTTTTGTTCCATCTTAGATTAAACAACCTATCTAATATCTACAGAGCGGGCCTTTTAGCTCATCCTCCCCCTTAATTTTTGCTTGACAGATGCTGTGTTTAGTCTTTGAAATAGAGATGTTTAATATGTAAATAGTGCATTATGTCACAGAAGGGATGTTCCATATTTGGCAATTTAACGTGCCTGCATTACACGGAAGATCAGAAAATCTTTCTTGAAAGTTTTGACTAAACGAATATCCTCCTTCATGTTCAGAATGTGAGCAGCACATGACAGTTACAATAACTTAAGATACACGCTATAAATAAGATAGCTGTTGTGTTCCAGTTTCCCTTCTCCCATCACTTATATATACACTTCCAATCACATGCCCAGATAACATATTTGCCATTATTTTAATACATATAAATTCCTCTTGAATTTATCTAAGTGACTGGAAGGAACAAAGTATATCTAATATAAGGAAAATTTTGGATCAACAATTTGGCAATGTTGCTTCTGCACTGTAACTCTAAAAGGAGTTATATAAGAAACTTGCTTTAATTTCTAACATGTAGGCATATAATGCCATGCTTGTATGAAAAGCTGTCTAAAATTCAGGAGGTAAAAAGTATTTTTTAATAACAAGCAATGCAAATATAGAAAACAAATTAAAAAGATTTAAAATTGCTGATAACTTGGTAAGAGTGCAGCATTAGCATACTTATATTAGGACAACAAATTTTAAAATTATGGATATATGAAAGAATTTTCCACTTTTACATGATACAGATACCAAGAGCATGTGTTTCCAAGCAATTCAGTCTCAAAACAATACCTGATCCAAATTCAAAATTCTAATAAACTGCATAATACGTAACAGATTAAAATGCTGGATATTTTGAGCTCAACAATCACATTTAGAGCTTTTGCTTTATTTTCACCAATAAAATGACTTAATTTACAAGAACGTTTATGTAGGTAACTTTACAGTAGGTAACTTCCACCAGCAAAATTAAAATCTACCAGCAAAATACACAAACCATGTCTGTAATTAGAGAGTCATCTGGCTAAATCTGAATTATAAAACTGCAGAAAATACAAAATTGCCAAAGCAAGTATTTAAAAAATGAAGTTAAATTTGATTTACTGTATCGAGGCTACCTACCGATCATCTTTCTATGTATAAATACACATATAGTTAACTTAATTATTTCATTTTGAAAGAGGCAAGATAAATATTCATCATTTCCATCAGCTGACAAGTAAAAGCTAGTTTTAGTCCACTTATTCAGTTGCAGATCCAACAACACTGACAGGACCATGCCAACTGAGGTAGCTTGTGAATTGACTTGTTATTGAAATCATTTGGGGGAGGAAGGATTAAATACAAGGCAGCATGTGACTTACATACAGTGTCTCGTAATACCACAGCATCCCCGAGGCTATTAAAACAATAGTGCAAGTGATACTTTGTGCTAACCATTCTGGCCTTTCCTTACCCCCTCATCCAATCTATGTCAATTTTGTTAGCACACACAAAAACCAAAAGAAAGCAGGTTTTTTTGCCATCTGGATTATGACACCAAACACAATTCTTTATAGTCTAGCAGTATTAACAGAGCTCTCCACATCTGCAGTAACTTCAAACATCCTTTCACTTCCTTTAGAAAAAAACATGCACACATGCAGCCAGTATGCAGCCCACCATTTGTTTGTCTTTGTTGTTGTTGATGATGATGCCTATGACACCCATTATTTAATTTTATATTATTTTTAATTACAAGTTGAGATTGTTGCCATTGTCCAAAAAGTGAATCTGCCTTGGATCCATATATGTGACATGTGGCGTAAGAAAATGAAGATTTATCTGTCAAAATCACATCACAGATAATGGGGGGGGGGGGAGGCATTTATCATTTAGCTGAAAAGACAAGATTGCAGAGAGCAACCTCCTTTCCTGTCAAGCCAACCTTTAGAAATTTCTAACATGCTCTTAAACTTTTTATATAAGCAAACCTACACACCTTGGAAGCTGCCCTCTCTACTCTGGCCTGGGCAGTAAAAATGGCATCTGAAAGTCAAGGTCAGCCATGTCACTTCACTAAGGGGCTGCCTTTAATTACAGTCCATGCAATGACAAAATGGAACAGAGGATGTTAACTCTTCTTTCACATTTATACCAGTCTGCAGAAAATTATGATTAAAAATAAATAAAAAGGCTATACAACCAACTCCATCAAGCATCAGGCATAACAGAAACTCTAAACCCTGCAGCAGCACATTTTGCATTTCCAGGCAGCTTTGGTGCCCTTTCATGACCTATATAAAAGACTTGTATAAGAATTGGGGGAGGAAAAGCTACCCAGATTTGGGTTTTGTCTCCATTTTACACATTGGTTCAATCAACTTTGAAATTTGAGAGAAAGAATTATTCTGAGAAGTAAAGCTTATTTTTGTATGACTTAAAAGGTATTGTAGGGTGACACTTTTAGGATCCTTTCCATTCTAAGAACCAGAATAAGAACTAAGCAAGAGTAACAGGTGGACATAGATGTTTTATACTTCATAAGGAACTTACTTTTATGATGGTGGTGGGATTGTACCTGTTTCCTGCAATAAATGTATGAATGCTATAGTGCAGAGATATACACTAGGAGCATGTGACACAAAACTGAGCCAAACAAATCTACACTCATGAACATTCACTGCAAAGATAGAGATATCCATCTGTCAGATAATAATTTGTTTCCTAATACCATAAACCTATGACCTATGTTAAAACATAACGATAAAGTATGATATGGAATTAAATTTGCTGTGAAGGCTTTTTTGTAAGGTAAGTATAAAGGGAGGAAACAGTGGATTTTTTAAAAAAAGCTTCAGGTGGGGAAAAAAGCCCAGTTCTCTTCTGTGTCCTCTTCTTTGGGTGAGCACAATTTGGCAATGCAGTATCAAAAAATGTACAGAATATGAAAGATGTGAAAGAGAGCAGCTAGAAAGTTATTCTATGATATGCCATGACTTTTACGCTTCTGTAGATAACTGTAAGAACACTGGAGGTGTGCATACTTACTATAAATAAAAATAATGAAATTTTAATTCACGAATTGGTAAGATAAAATGTCAGAAAACATTTTTTACAAAACAACGAACTTTCAATATTCAGCCTGTAAGCATGCCATTCCTGCCTTCCCTCCCCCCATCACTTTGATTTACCTGCTATATGTTCCTGCTTAGGACAAATTCCTCTAGATGATGTTGACAAACAATCGTCATCCTCAGGTGTGACCTGGATGCCAACCTCCACGGGATTGGAAGTTTTTCGCAGCTCGCTTGGCGAGGGTGAAGGGGGCTTATCCACAGCCTTCTCTAGGCAAAGAGTGCCATTGCATTGTTTCCGTTTGTGCTCAATAAAAATAAGAATATCCCCCAAAGGGAAGTTCATCTGACACTGGCCACAGGTAAGGAGGTCGTGGTCGCCTTCTGGAGCTCCCAAAGTACCATGATCTGGTTCATCGTCTGTAAGAATGGCTTCAATAGGTTCGGCTGCAAAGAAAGAAACAAAAGAAATCAGGAATTCAAATACAGATTAAGAAATAGAAAGAATTGGAGAGGGAAAGTATGTTTTCAGAGTACAGGACAAACTTTTTTAAAAAATCCCAAATATTGGGTAGCAGTACTGACACTTCTAATCTAGTGTTGTGCTGGGGTGCCTAAACTAAAAAAAAGGGGGGGAGGAACATCCACACAAGTACTTTACTTCATCAAGAGCATTTCTTAAAACAAAATGCATTACACATTCCTATTTTTAAATGATTATATGCTTTATTATAGTATTAGTTTTAACAGAAAAAAATAGGTCACTCTTGTTCCAAACCTAAGGAGTTTTCCTTCTTAATAGCATGTTGTCATGCTATAAGAAAAGAAATTTACTAGCGACATCAAGCAATTGTATCTGAAAGAAAACCAAATGTAATGCTAATAACTGAGGTGAGAATTTCAGATTCTTTCAGAGCTCAAAAAAATTAGAGAGATTTGCTATTTACAAATGAGCATGTTAAATAAAAATGCAAATGTCTCAGAATTCTTATCTTTATTTACCTCCTCCAAAAGTAAACCTCAGAACTATCTATCTATAAACCCATGGATTTCTCTTTTCTTTTCACAAAACAATATTTGTTTATTTTCTCCGTCAAGTGTCGTACGTTGGAATGAATATGCTACTTTAGGGTATACTTATGCATACAAGTGTTTGGACATGCATACAAAAATATCAGTAAGCATAATCACATAATTACAAAAATGATTGCTTGTGTCCATCCGCCAGTTGGCACCCATTACCTGAACAGCCCGTGGTTTTTAAGTATGTTCCTATGTTCTGTGTCATACATATGTAGATGCACACAGAATTTCCTAGAAGTCTTCTCTAAAATGATCAAGCAAACAGAAAACAAGATAAATCCACAGTATTTTATTTATCAAGTATTTTTAAGAAACAAGAATAGCCAAACATTTCATTTACAAAATATAAATATTTATCTTCAAACTACTCAAAATTTCCAGTCACAATTAAGATGCTTTTGAACATCTAGGAAAATAAACCAAATTAGTCCTTTTCGCCATTTGGAGGAAATGTGTCACATTTATTCAGAATATATTAGTAATGATGGCCTTCATAAGGTAAAATATTAATATAAACATGACTGAATTCCAGCATTCATTACCAAAATCCTTTCTTTACAGCACCTTTCTTAATGTTGTCCAAGTTGATTAATTTGCTGAACAAGCTCCAGAAAGCTAAAATTCTGTTTATACAGGCAACATTCCAATAGGTATTTTAACAAGGTGCATAACAATACTGCAATTAGCTTTTTATCCCACTATTATTTTCTATTAAAGTACTTTTGCAGAAAGTGTTCATGATTTCAGTCTTCCACACAGACTGAAAAAGAGGGAGAAGAAAAAATCATATTGGGATGTAATTTCATTACAACCGTACAGTACTTTCACCTATAAACAAACATGAAATAGTACTCTTGCAAAATATCAAAAGCTACCAGTTAAGAAAAAAGTGAAAGGACACAATACCTCAACAGTTAATCAGCTTGACCTTCTTTAATATATGGCCAATTTCACATTTAATGAATTTAAAGCCACAGAGAATCAAAAAATAGATTTTAATTTGACTGAGTCATATTGAAATAGATTTGGTGGTTTTTTTAAAAGTATACTCAGATTTAATTTGTTTCCGAACCATCCATATTAGTTAAGGGAATCTCAAGAAATTCCCATATGTGTAAGGGAACATAATTTTAGGATGTCATAGCTCTATCTAAACAATTCTGCAAATCTCTGCTTTCACATTATTTTTTTTTCCCAAGTTTACTCCTAAATATAGAGTAATAATGATTATAGAAACATGAACATTATTTTTACATTAAAATATCTTCAGGCCATAGCTCTTAAGCTCTCTTGACCAAACATAATGCAGTAATACCAGTTGTGATTAATAGTCAAGAGGGAAATTGGGACTATGAGTGATTTTATGGTATCTACTTTCCCCTACTATTTTCGGGTGAGCAAATATCTAGTTCTCTCTAACAAAATGGCAGGCAACAAATAGAATAATAAATTGTCTCAGCACATTCTATCTTGAAAATATTTAAATACCTGAAATATTTTTCCCTGCAAGCTTCAAAGCTCAATCTAAGAAGCAAAGTATTTTCTATAAAACAGAAAGTTCTATAAGGAGTAATTAGTCAAACTATAAGACTAGGGCCTAAAACTGTGAAATTAGTAAGTTGGTTTAGCAAGAAAATTCAAAACATTTGTTCCCTAAGCAGTTAAAATTTATACTAGAGAACGGTTGGGGAAAATGATTTCTTATAAAGTTGGCTGTAAATTGGTCTGGATTTTCTCTAAAAAACAGCAAATCAAGTAAAACTAAAAAGTATTGTTGATTGCACCTTCACAATTTATCCAATTAATTTTAGAAGAGGCAAAGTTCTTAAGAATAAGATATTACAAAGTACAGATATAAAACCCATACCTTCCATATGTTTATGCATTTAATATAAATGATTGCTAATCAAGATTAATGATAAGACAATGAATGAGCAAGAGCTAGCACACTACGTTTGTTTAAAAACGGTTTTCTAAAATACAGAATGCAGGGCAAAAGTGTACTGCTGTTATTAAAAGTATGTCTGCAATTCAAAGAGCTAGTGTATTATCATCCTTGATGCTAATTATTTGCATGGTATGCTTTGTTTCTAATTTATTGGCAACCACTTTTTTATATTTTAATTGTTCGTTATTTCTGTTTAAATTAATACATCATTAATGAAAAAGGGGATTGTATTTTCTCTTTTAAAGGCTAATCTAAAAGGAAGGTGGAGTTTTTAATTAAAAAACAAAACACTAGTGTCACAGATTTTCACTTCTTTACAAAGAACAGAGAAAAAAAAGAAAGAAGACAGAAGCAGAAATGCCAACGAAGGCATTTTCCAGATTATAGTAGAAAACATGTCTTTCATTTTTGAAATATGAATTAGGATGGAACAAGCAATCAAACGAGTCAAATTAATGCAAGGCAATTAAACATATATTTCTCCCTCCCCATCCGCAAAATAGTTAAAACTGAAACAACAGCTCAGTTTCAACTTTGCATTTAAGTGGATTACTTTAAGAGAAACTGAGGGAAAGGAGGGATATTCAAAAAGAGAAGAAAGGAAAAAAGAAAATTTAAGTGTTTAGGTGAATGAACATCTGGATGGATGTAAACTTGGGCAGAAGCAGAAAATACAATTTGGGGGGCATATAGGTTAGCCTCAGAAACCTCATCTAGTAACACTTGCAAGGGAGCCAAAATATTTGCTTGCCTTTTCAGCCAGCTGTTCTCTTAGAGATCTACTTTAAAAACAAAATAAACCAATTGATTTTCAAAAGCAACAATAAGCTTTCTAATAGGACTGAGACTGAATGAAAACAGCCCTCACGAAGCCACCCAAACAAAAGCAGATGCTCCACAAATTAAGCCAAAGCACCCAAAAGTCTTTGGAAAGAAATTTAATACCCTTGAATTTTTGTAGTTTTTATCAAAAAAATTAGTTGCCATCTAAGAAATACTATTTCTAAATGCTAAGAAGGGTTGCCTTTCTCAGTTTGTGTTGTGTGGATAAATAATCACATACGATGTTGTAGTGTGCTTGATCATATAATAATTATTTTAATGCTGTTTTTTCAAACAGAAGTATTCCTGCTTTGGAGGGAGGGATAATGACAAGATGAAAAGCAGTAACTGTAAATACTCTATAGGGGAGGGAATCTAGTAAAAGAACAATTTGAATGTTACAGTCCTTTCCAAAAGATTAACACAGGAAACAAAATTAAAAGCAAAAAAGGAGGAGCTGAATTACAGAGGAACAGTGGGAGATAAAGAAGGGAGAATATCTGAACACACACACACAACATATACATAAATACACAGAACTCTCGCCCCACCTTCCAATGCCAAATGAAAAATATAGAAAATTAAAAGATGTGTGAGCAAAAAGGGTCAGGTTCAAGTTCTCTAAGCTTTCTTGATCCCACTCTGCCTCCTAGTGGCTAAAATTCACATTTAAATTTAAAAAATATACAGAAACGGAAAAAGAATAGTTTTAACCCAACTCACATAAATTGCCCTCTCTGCTATAATCTCATTATCCCCTATTCTCTCATTTTGCTTCCCAAGACAAGATGAAGAAGACATGAAAAAATAAACTTCTATAGGAATTCTGCTGATCCCTTGTTACACACCACGAATCTCTAAACAAAAACTTGCACCTCTATATATTTATTTTTGGGGCTAATTTTCAAGTCTTCTGCAGGTGAATGTGGAGCAGAGAAACTAGAATATAGTTACAAATCATCTTCTGTACATTGTAAAAAGGAGCACCTTTTCCTCCAAATAGCCACCTCTCCTTCCCCACCCCCTACCTCTCATTTCAGATAAGAGTCAAATTAGGTTATCAGTTTGGGTGAAGGAAGGGAGGGAGAATGAATCTTGCAACGTGTTTGGAAGGTGATAGCATGTTCAAAAGTGTCAGTTATGTTGCAATAAACATACGATTTTGCATTTCAAATAACAAAAATAATTGTAGGAATGGACAGAAAAGCAACATGCAACATATTTGAAAAGACAACTATAATTCATGAAAATGAAAGGGCAGCGATGTTTCATTTGTTGGCTATTTTAATTAAGTATTCATATTGCTAAATGATATTTTACATTATAATGGAAGCAGCAATTAATGGGAGACAAGACCACTGACAGCTAAAATGCAAAGTTTTGCAAAACCAAAAGAAAAACCAATCTTGTAAATTAAAGGGGAAATAATAACAAAACAGCTCAAGGAAGACCATTTATTTTTCTTTTGCAAATATAACTTATACATTTAATGTCTTCCTTCTCCCCCCCCACCCCCCACCCTTCGACTTTGCCCTCCGCCTTCAACCATCTCAAGTCCAGACCAGACTTCCCTTTTGTGTTTGCAAGCAAGCACGGCTTTGCTCAGGCTTTTGTACACAGCATGCCTGGAAGGCTGAAAGAGGAAACCCGAGCCATAGCAAAAATCCCTATTTTGTTTAAATGAAAAAGGAAATACAACCTTTACATCAAAATGCAATTACTGAGGTGGAAGTTCTAATTAATTGTTTAGGGGAGATTGATGTTCCCTTTCTTATGATCAGCGCTGACACAGCTGCACATAAGCTTGTATTTATTTTTATAATATCTACAAAACCTTGCATGTGTGCATGTATATATGTTGTATGAATTTCTTCTCCTTCCAATACGTTTGTTCTCCTAGCCTGTTTTGCTGGCAGCGACTCCGCAGCACACGCGGCGCTTGTAAACAGTCAGACACGAGATTTTTCCCAATCAAAATCCACTTCCACTTTTTTTTTTTTGAAAATCTTCCAAAAACTGGTACAAAAGAAAGGAGGGGAATTCCACACGCATGCATATCCACACACTCCGATCCTTCTCACATTTTTAGCTGTACGCAAGCTAACCCAAGTTTCTGCAAAGCAAGAGTTTGGGGGCTTAACGACGGAAAGAGAAAAGGAGGGGGTAAAATGAGGCTGGTAAGAGTAGGCAGTTGACTGGGGGAGGGGAGAAAAGCTAATCGTGGCGGTGCAAGAGAAAAGCAGCCGATCTCCGGCCAAAAACAGACACCACGTCTGCCCCCTTCCTTGCCCTTTCCCGGTGCGGAGTTGGAGAGGAGAGAGAAAGAAAGAAAAAGGAGCGGGACATACAGAAAAGGGTGGGGGTAGGCAATCTCTCTCCGCCACTATCCCTATCTTGATGGTGGAGACAAAAGAAATGGTCCCCCTTTCACCCCATCTATAAAAAAGGAGATTTGCACGGAATGAGCAAAGCGGATTTGAAAAAAAGGCAAAGTCGTCACACGACAAGGCGCTCGGAGAGCACCTAATCTCTCCGCGTGAAAATAAAAGAAAGTGCCCCGATTCAACCACCCACCCACACACACACACACACATATACCGCTTTCTTCCGTACTTTCATCCCCTCCTTTAAGCCGCCTGCCTCTTCTCTGTCCTTTGCACACACACAAAAATGTGTATCTTTGCGTGCTTTCTTAAGTTGCAATTCATTTGTAAGCTGCAGGCGCGCGCACTCAGACACGCTCTCTTCCGGCAAAATATCTATAGAAGAATCAATGGGGGGGAGGAGAGACAAATGGAACTTTGAGCGAGGGAGCAAGCGGTCGTAAGCGCTGAAGAACAGAAGACCTTCTCTGAAAAGTACTGAAGGTGTTAGCGATGCAAAAAAAGAGGGAGGGGCAAGGGGCCTGAGTTTTAAGGTGAGTTGCTTTTTTGTCTTCCAATGCATTAAAAAGACGCATGCACAAAGAAAGAGTGAAATGTGCAAAATATTAAAAAATAATTGAATTATGATTGTTAGTTTGCAAGCGAGTGTGCTCAAAGGTAAAAAGCAGAGCGGCAAGGTGGTTTACTTACGCGAAAATTCCCGTTTGCTTAAGTGCTGGGGTTTCCCTTGCTTGCGGCGAGACATTGTGGTGTTGGTTGCTCGGGCGGGCGCGCACGGAGCTCTCTCGCTCGGATCACATCGGGAAGCGCCGGGTGAGCAAGGAGGGAGACTCCAGAGAAAATACCTTCATCAATGTCTTTTGACATCCAAAATAAATTAGAAATAATACAAAGATGGCGCGGGGAAGATGAATTGTGGGATAGCAGTCATGGCTTTTTCTTTTTCTTTTTTTCCTTTCTGTGCAAGAGAGGGAGAAACAGACAGGGGGGAAAAAGAAGAGAGAGAGAGAGATGAAAAAAATGGCAAAAGCCCCCCTGAGCTGCAAGTTCAAGTGCGGACGTGACGTCCCTACGAACTTGAACGTCAAGCGGCTGGATGGACAGAGACATACAAAACATGGGCAGGGCGAAACTGGAGGAAAGGGGAGGAGGGAAGCTGTGCGCCACGCCAATGGACAGTCATCGGGGGCTGGACATGATCAAGCAAAAGAGTGAGGGGGGAGCCGTAGCAGGGCAAGCCAATGGCCAGTGGTGGGGGGAGAAGAGGGGATTACCCTCCTAGGCACCAGGCACACGCTGCTGCTCCTCCGGAGGGAGGCGGAGTGGTAAAAGACGCGGGGAGGGAGAGGCGTGCGTAAAGGCGCGCAACAGCCCAGGAGTGACCGCAGAAAAAGGAAAGGCACGCTGGAGGAGCAAGAAGACTTAATACGAAAGAAAGTGTTCTGTAAGCCTTTAAAAAAATCAATTAGAGCCAGGAGGGAAATTTAAAAGAGAAGGGAGGGGCGAGCAGAGGGAAAGGGAGAGACCGTAAAATATAACAAGAAGTCAAATACCACTGGAAATGAGTGCTCTTATCTTCATGGAGTTGCTAGCAAATTGCCGCACAATTAAAAAGCAAAACAGCGGTAACGAACAGACAAAAGTGAGAGCGTAACTACCTCACCTTTTAAGAGGTGAAAACTTTAAATTGTTCAAGTAGGATCAGGCCCAGAGGTTATGCCATTCTCCGGACAAGCCACTACCTCGGAAGGAGCAAGTATAAAAAACTATGGACAACGCTGATTATGTTTGTTTATAGTAACAGATACACTGCAACGGATCCTGGGAGCTCTATTTGATTTCGTGTGGGTCTCTATTGCGAAGAATAGAAGTTGGTACATTTTTCTTAAGATTAAAAATACAGTAATTCCTAAATGCTCTATGGATTAAAACGGAATAAAGGATCTCCAGCTTTGATAAATTGGTTGATTCTCCCTTTTCCCCACTTGGTTGGAATCGTCGCCCCGTAAAACATACTAGTATATAACCAGAAAAATGTGTAAAGATTCAGCTTAATTAATTGAATAGCCCTCGCTGAATTCAGTGACAGTTACCCTTGAATAAACAAGAGAACACTCGGGTTGTAAGAATGTAACCCATTGTAAATAAATATAACTCCATTACCAAGAGAATTTAAGGGGGATTCTTCATTGGACGCAGTGGAACTTCCTTCCAAAGAAATTGCATAGGATCGCAGAACTCATGTTGCCAATATGCTTGAGACCCTGGTCCTTTACAAGTAGTCTAAGCAAGCTGAAGGGGGAGGTGTATATAACAAGCTATGAAACGTGATGATCCTGTTTTAGGAAAGCTGGAAATGGGGTCAGAGAACGGAGGTTCACCTGTTGCTTTGGGGGGGGGGGTCCTCCGGCGAAACCTGAAAGGTAGCTTTGGAGACGGTAGCAGGTCTTTATTAAGTTTGTGAAAGAATAAGTAATTATTTGTGAAATAATAATACGAAGCTTTTCACCAACCCCCTAACCATGTACTGTACAAATATTTTCGGAAGAAATTTAAAAGTGGAACATTTTTTTTAAAAAAGAGGAAGACGGTTGTCCCCTCCCAAGAAGAAAGGGAATGTTTGCGATCCTATCCTGAAGAGGAAAGAAACTTACAGGGGGCGAAAAAAACAACGATTTGTTAAGATGGGGGACATATCAGCGACCATGAAAGGTCCCGGATTTGGTGCTGGAAGGGGAAAAAACGTTTATCTTCAACTCCAGCTCACAATATACAAGAGAAGGCAAGTCTAGAAAAAGGCTCCTACGTAAAAACACTCCTTCATTTTAAGAAGAGAAGAATTAGCCCCACAGGTAATGAAAGAGAAGCAAAGAATAGGAAAAGATTGGGTTTTCTCCGTGGTCAAAAAGGCCAAGTAAGAATTCCACGACGGCCTGACACCTCTAGTCCCATTGAATTGACTGAGGCTCATTCTTAGGTAATTGGCTATAGAAGGGCATTCCCTCGGCTTGAGGAGGGCATTAGGGGAGGGGAGGAAGAAGCAGCAGACAAGGGAATGATAACCAGCAATTAAAAAGGACCGCTGCCCTAATGTCTGTGTGAGAAAAGCAAGAGTTCCTCGTTACAGTAAAGAAAAAGCAGAAAAATCCCGCGCTGGGGAAAATGGAACTTTCTGCTGTTCGCCTTCCAACCACAAAAAGAAAGCCGCACAGAGAAGAGAAGGCTAAGCACGGCGGCGGAGGGTGGGTCGGTTGAACAGCAGAGGCGAAGGAACGGGAGGCGGGCTGGGAGACGCGAAAGAGCGAGAGGGTTCGGCGCCAAGCTTGGCGACGCGAGCTGAGCAGAGCGAGGTGCGGCGGCGGCCCCGTGCGTCCTTGCGGTGGGGGAGGGGCGTCGTGCGCGCGGGCCTTTTCCAGACACGGCGAAGTCCGCGCGGGCAAAAGGTCCTTTTCAACGCTCCTTTCTCTGCCCCCTTCGCCACCTTTCAATCACTTCCGTTGAAGGCAATGAAGGCCAAGAAAGAGGAGTGCGAAGGTGAAGCCAAAGGCTTGATGTGACTCGTGCGATTATCGATTGTGTTGTAGTTTTGTTTTGCTTTTTTTTTCTAACGGTCTTGAATTGGGGGGGGGGGAATCGACCTAGCCCTTTCAACTTTGGAGAGAAACTGATGCCCCGCACCGGGCCCGGATCAATTCTGTCCCCTGAAAGAATCGAACTTGGCACGCACGCGCACGCACAGGCCACCAGTCAGCCAAAGTTGTGCATTTTTCGGGTCTTTCTGATTTCTAGAAAAGTCTGTTGGGTGCGTTTCCTCGGAAGAAAGTTCTAGAGTGGGAGCCCTTGCGAACGGGAACTTTTGAAAAGTACTTGAGAGGCCGGTTGAAATCTTTAATGAATGGTTCTCAATTCCGTCCCCCCCGCACTAATTCTTGGGCCCGGCCGTCGAATTTGTCGAATTTGCGCCCACTTGGGGCGCTCTCCTTAATAGGCGCCTCACACTTATGGTCCATCCTGCGGGGGCCTACCCCTGAGTAAGACCACCGAAGGCCAGTGGGGCTTATTCCTGAGTAAGCATGCCCAGGACCTCAGCCATAACGCCCTCCAATAGGCACCGTTCGTCTTTAAAAACCCAACTTTTACACGGCCCCGCGCTTTGTCCAACGCACCGAAACAGCTGCTTCCAAACGAGTTGCGCAGAAACAGGCGCGCTCGCCTCCTTGAAGGGGCGTCTTGTGCAAGCTTCCACGCGGACTCGGACACACGCGCCCACTTTCTCAACAAGCACTGTTGGGTGCAGCAAGCTACTTGCTGACCAGTCGACGGTCGGAACTGCCACCCCTCAGCGCACCACTACAAATGTTTCGACTGCAGACCTGCCCCGTTTTGAACCGAGGGTTTTCCGAGGATAGTACAGGGCCTCGCGGGAAGGAGTGGGCATTCTTCATTTCTCTCCAAACACATTTGCACGTGCTCTTTTCGCGACTGTTGACTCCACTTAACAGAACTTATGAGCAATTGGCATAGGATCAGGGTATAATTCTTGCTGTCACCCCAACAGAAAGATCTGTTTTCTTTCATCCAAACGCTTACCCGGAGAAGCTCAAAGACCTCCTCTTCAGTGTTCCCCTTCTCGGATACGCCTGCACAACCCCGGCCCCCCCAGAAACGATTTCTGATCCGAACGGGGAAGGAAGAGGCTCTCAGAAATCAGCAGATCGATTCCCCTCCTAGCATTTACGGGGCTCCAAAACATAACAGCGCTTTCGCCTCGGCTCCGGAGAAAAAGGCAAAGGACGAGTTTCCCGAGGAATCGAACGATCCCCGGGCGAGATGGAGTGGCCGTCGGCAGCGGCGTCGCGTGCGAATTAGTTAATGACGCTGGATGGAAGGGGGTTCGAACTGTAGCCCCCCTCCGTAAGTTTCTTCTCTGGTCAAGGGAACTTTGGGGAAGGCAGCTGCTGAATTTCGAAAGCACCTGCACCTGGGCATGGGGGGGGGGAGGGGGGTTGAAGAAGGAATCGTGGCGATTTTACTGCCAGGGAAGCCATGAGCAGCCCGCCATTTCTTGGAAGTCAAGCGAAATACGACTATTATAAAGTTCAGTGCCTCATTGACCTTGGTGTAACCGAGTTCTTGGGTAGATAGACGCCTTGAGTTCAGCGGCTCCTCTGGTGGGGCAAGGCCTTACCAGGGGAAGGGGACATTTTGGGTGAGTGGCACTGCACCTGGCAGGCCCTGAGGTGATGTGCCTGCTGTGGTCTGTCCTGCAGTTAAGCAGGCCTGCAGCTGCCAGTGCCTGCAAGTCTGTTCGGAGACGGCTTCGCGCCTCCACCCGTACGACAAGGGCTCCCCCTAGAACCGGCAAGTGAGATATTGATGGAGGAGGAAGCTCCGGTTTCTTAGGTTCCCTTTGCCAGCTTTCTGTCCTCCCTGGGCTCAGCGAAAACCCCACAGAAGAAAAAGGTGCGTTGAATGGGACAGCGAACAAGGAGGCACTTCTGAATATCATCAAAATGCCCACACCTTTCCTTCTTCCCATCCCACCGCAGCAACTCCATCTCCTCCAATACTACCTTCCTGCAGTCAGCCCGAGTAGATGTTGGCAGCTGAAAAATGACACCACTTGGAGTTACCTTAATGGCAATCTGTGAATGTTGAAGATGAATAGTAAGATTAGATGGCAGCGAGGAAAAAACCGCCCAGTAAAACAAGGAGGCTGCGATAAGATGAAAAGATGAAAAGAAAGAAATCAAACCTAAGGCGGGTAGTGAGAAACATCCGGTAGAAAATATGGTAAGGGGACACAGGTGGGGAAGGATTTCATTGTGAAATGGGCAAAAGGGTGCAGGAAATATGACACAAACGCAGCTAGATGCACAGCTCTGGTAGACAAAAAGGGGGAGGTAGTAAAGGCACAAAATACAACTAAAGTTACCAGTGAGTTAATGTAGAAATCAACCCTGTGGAATCAACAAATTCCTTCTGCTTCCAACTAAAATACCGTCAACTTCAGTATGTTAGATGAAAGATCTTTTGATATTTTTTTCAGCATGTTTGTCTTCCAAGCAAACATGCTTATTTGGAAAGAAATTTTTTGAAGTCAGTGCAGCATAGTTGGAAGAAAATTGCTTTTAATAAGGAGCAAAATGGGTATTCCAAAGGAGTATATGTGCAAATGAGAGTTAAATCCATTTGTAAGTACATTTAATACACACCATTAAAAGTAGGCAAATAATTCTGTTCTCAGGCTTGTCTGAAAATATGCTTGAAATAAGGAAAATATGCATGTTTTTGGCACTCTATCTGGAATATTAGTCCAAAGCAAGTATATTCCTTTAAAAAAAAATTGAAAAGAGTACCTACCTTTGCTTAGACCATGTATGAAAAAGAGCCAGAATCAATGTACACTCTAATTATGTTTCAAAACATATTTAAAATATATATTTGTGTGCATGAATACAGGTTTTCTTCACACTACTGACTTATCTATAGTTAAATTGGCCATGTATTATGCATTTAGCCCAAGTTTTTGATTGCCAAGATGCCCTGAGCTATACGCTAGCCATGCAGGCAGGATTTGCCAATTCGCTTGGGTAAAGCTGCCTGGTTAGTGATACAGTATGTCTTACAGTATGTCAGTATGTCCAACTATGCAATCTGAAGCTCTGTATCCTGACTGGAATCTAGCATTATTTTTGTTTCATTAAATTTTTCATGTTAGCAGAACTATCAATATTTTACTTTCATTTTTGTTTTCTGCTTTGTATTACCTGTGTGTCTCTTGTCTTTAATTTCTAAATAAATTCCACCTAACACCCCCCCAAATCTTATTTTCTTTTCTTTTACTGTAGGAAGGAACAATTAAAAATGAGGCTTAGTTATTTGGAAGACATAATTAAGAAGGTGGTTTCAGAGACCCCACCCCTCAGGGGCATACTCCAGACACCTTTCTCTGTTCTACAGATAAGATTGAGACAGAGTAGCACTGATCTTCCTGATTGTGATGGGTTACAAGTCCCATCATCTCCACTTACTGGTTGTGCTAACCGAGACCGATTCTCAGTCTTGAGACCAGAAATTTCCCAACCATGATCAAG